GTGTGTGTGTGTGTGTGTGTGTGTGTGTGTGTGTGTGTGTGTGTGTGTGTGTGTGTGTGTGTGTGTGTGTGTGTGTGTGTGCATGTGTGAGCCACCACTAGCAAGAAACGGTCACGTGTTGTTCCATTCCTAGAATCCGCCTTATGTGCGGTTTAAGAAGCCAGTCAGGGATTGGGAGGCCTGTCAAATGCCGGAAATTTGGAACTGCGAAAGCGCAATTCATTTAGTGGCGCAACGATAAAAACCCAAGCGGCTACGATATTGTCATGGGACGGCGTTACAAGGCAAGAGTAGAGAAAAATAGCCGACAGCTATTTTTCTTTGAAAGAGTCAGCGTCGTTGATACATGAATTTAATCACGTACAACTTTTTACATCCCCCGCAGATGTCGTTCTCGCGTAAGAACGCAATGGACTGCTCGTGTCAAAGAATTTCGACGTTCAAAAGTTGAGATTTCATTTGGAAAGCAACGCGTTGTTGGTATGACCACGCAAGACTTCGCCATGTTTCACGTCGCGCGTGTGTGTGCAAGCGGCAGGGTCACCTGAGCTTTAGACTCAATAGGAATGAACGTAGGCGCTCTCAATGCCACTCGGCAATAAGTCGGAAAGGATCGCTATGGCTCGACGAAGGTCGCGGGACGGAGGGCGTGGACCATGGAAAGCTTCCATGCTAACACGGGTGGAAAATCTCCACGCGAATGAAGCAGACATATAGAAGGAAGGAGGAACTGGCACATAGAGATAGAAGGAAACAACGAGCGAGCAAGTTATAGAAACAGCGAGAGAGAGCGAGAGAAAAAGCGCAGGAGAGATGAGGTTTAGCAATGTGGTTAGAGAGAGAGCGCGCGCGCGAGCAAGAGGGAGAGAGAGCGCGCGCGCGAGCAAGAGGGAGAGACAGCGCGCGAGCGAGAGAGGGGGGAGAGCAAGAGCGGGAGAGAGAGTGTGTGTGTGTGAGCGAAAGAGAGAGATGGATAGATAGAGAAACAAAAAGCGAGAGAGAGAGAAAGAGAGAGAGAGAAGGGGGGAGCTCGGCATATGTCGACGCATCACAATCGCACCCAGCACAATTCTCGCGGGATTTCTGCCTGTCGTTGGTCATTGTTCCTAAACTCCGCAAGAAATCTTTTCACAAAGTTTCCTGGTTATGATTTGAAATGCAATTGTATAACGAACGCGAAGAAAAATCCTCTCGTAATGACGTTACTGTCGTCACATTGTTCTGGGAGAGTTCCCCAGTAATGGTTTTCGGATAGTAAGTTGTTTGACTGAAACGGCCCTGCATGAATAGGAAATTGGCAACGTTTCGTCGTCGCTCTGTAGGAAATTGAAGGAGTTTGAAGTCACCAGATTTTTGCATATGTCAGTGCGAATGAGAATTTTTGCATATTTCCCCACAGAATTGTTGCTGAATTGCGCTAGGATGGCGACTTTAAAGTATATATATATAATATATAATATATGGCGCGCCCCCAGACATTGCCACACACGCACGCGTGTACATCGTACACGCACACGTACGCACACGTATGTGTGTGTGTGTGTGTGTGTGTGTGTGTGTGTGTGTGTGTGTGTGTGTGTGTGTGTGTGTGTGTGTGTGTGTATTCAACATTGCGCACGTATGCAACCGCGCCGCAAAACTAATAACGAAAGCCGACGAACACAGCGAATTACATCAGCCGGCTTGTGACGAGTAACATATTCGCGTCTGCATTATTCATGTAGAGCCGTGTGTTATATTCCTCGCCGCGCGCGACAGAAACGAGAGACGGTGAAAGACGGAGAGAGAGAGAGACAGAGAGAAGAATAGAAAAAGAGAGAAAGAGAGAGAGAGAGAGAGAGAGCGAGGAGGAGAGAGAGAGAGAGAAAAAACAAAGAAGAGAGAGAAAATAGAAAGGAGAGAAGAGAGATGAAGAGCGAGGCAGAGAGATATGCAGAGAGAGGGGAGAAGAGGGAGGAAAAGAGAAAGAGAAAGAAGGGATGAAGAGAGAGCCGAGAGAGAAGAGGAAAAGAGAGGAAAGATGAGAAAGCAGATAGCGAGAGCAAAGCGAGAGATCAGTATGGATAAAATAAAAGAAAAAAGTGAAAGAGGAAAAAGAAGAGAGAGAAGAGAGATGAGAGCAGAGAGAGAGAGAGAAGCCGAGATCGAGAGAGAGAGCGAACGAGAGAAGAGGAGAGAGAGCCGACTGAGAGAGAGAGAGAGAGAGACGAGAGAGAAAGGAGAGAGCAGAGCGAGAGATGACGAGAGAGCAGAGAGAAGGAGAGAGACGAGAGAGAGAGAGAGAGCAGAGAGAGAGAGAGAGAGAGAGAGCGAGGCATTGCCACGCAAGCGCATAATGTGGATTAATGGTTATCACA